TTTCACTTTAATTTTTGCCCTTTGCGCACTTCTACCTTAATTTAATAGAATGAAAATTTAAATTTAAATTTAGGAATTTTAAAAAAGTTTTAAAACACCAAAACAGAAGATTCTGCAGCCGAAACGAAAGGGTTAAACGTCTACGCGAAATTCAATCGCTTGCAAAGTCCACCATCTCGCTGTCGCGTGAAAAGAAAACGTTCGAAGAAGAATGTGACACTCCTACGATCTCTGAATTCATGTGTATTAATTTATGATAGTGCTTCAACTTGTTGCTGTTACCTTTCGATACGGTTATACATTAAACTTCGATGTTTGTGAGTCAAGGTTTGTTTAACTGTGAATAATGGCGCGTTTAATCGTGACAAATGTAATTGCAGATCCAGCATGTATTATAGTCTACTGCTGCAGACCAAAGAATCTGTTTAGAAAATTCAAAAGCGTCGTTATATAAATTGAAACTATTCATTTATTCTAATTTTGATGACAAACATAATATATAAGAATTTCATTGTTACACGATAACTTTAACTGGCAACAGGTCACAAAAATAGCAACACGAAGATAGAAATTATAAAATAATTCGCAGCAAGTATGCACGAGGTTTCAACTTTTCAAATTCACTTTTCCTTAGAATTTATCAGCAATAACCTGTCAAGTACGCAGTCAAAATCGATCGTTCGTACACGTTTACGCAGTGTCAGCGAATTTTCTTGCTTTTCCGTACTCTACAGCTGACAGTAGCGCACTTTCCGGCCGGATACACTCGCGTTCACGGAATTCACCGCGAATGGTGGGGGATTTACGAGAATTCCGATTTAAAACGCCGCTTTCTACGCATATCTCCTTTGCACTCGTCGAATTCGCCGGGAAAATCGAGTTTCTATCATGCTGATGCAGAATAGCTCTTTCTATTGAATTTTTGTTTTCGCCGAGGGCAAATAACCCACGCACTTCTCTAACAGTATTACATTTCTGCTTTTTCAATGCAAAAGATTCGTAAGTTTCACGTGAACGCGTTCAATTTACAATCTGCACGAGAATCTGAGAGTATTTTAGCCTAATTAAGTTTAGAATAATCTTCACTTTTGTAAGGCGTGAACTGAACATGTAAGATCGTCTTCTATAGCTATGGCGATAGGAGAAATTTTTGTATTTAATTTTAATAACGAGTTTCAAAGGGCGACTAAGATGGAAGAAAAATTTTGTCTATTCTTTTACATGAATGTATATATTTTTTCTGCTGTATGCAGACATTGATGTGTATTTAAACAAGCTTAATAAACGACATTGCACCCTAAAATTTTTAATCAAACGTGAAACTTCCTTTCATTTTTTGCCATTTTTTCGATCGAAAAATTTCTCTTCCATCTTATTTACCCTTTGAAACCATTTAAATTGCGTACAAAAATTTTCTCGTACCACCATAGCAAGGAAAACTAATCAGGTGGTTTACTCTGTACATAAATTCTCAATTTCAACACGTATCAATACCTTCCTCAAACTGTAAAAATTGTGAAATTCAACGAACGATATAAATCTTCTATTAAAGTAAAATACTTCTTATCGCACACTTCTTCCTCCAACATCTTCCTTGTTTAAACTACGTTACTTCGAGGATAGAGTTTCGGAAAAATTTTTATCAAATACTATTTCACTTTCTTTATCAAGTATTAATTACTGTAATTTCAGGACCCATATCCACCGAACAAATATACCTTGATAATAAACGAAAGGAGGATAATTGAATTTAAAGGGAGATGTGAAGTTGAACCTCGCCTGTATGTAATTGCTCTCGTAAAAGGTAAACTGGTCCACTTTTAATTTTTATCACGAGCAAAATAACCCGCCGAGAAATTGGAACGCGGGGAGAAAATGGAATTTTTCGACATAGTTACGTGCTCACCCTTTCTCTCGTACAACCACGTCGTTTCTTCTCTTCAAAGATGGTAGGTTCAAATTAATCCTCGAGTTCTTGCTCTCACCGATCAGGTATCCGGTACCCACGATGCGTTAGTAGATTAAATACACAGGTGTTAAGATTTCACGGAGATATGTTACGTTGTTTCTTTTATGCAGCAGCCACCCTCTTATTCCTCGAGCTCTCTTACGATTTAAAGGGATGCAGCGGGACCGCCAGGGCAACCATAGTGCATACGTTCGATAGTTAGAAGGGATTAGTGTGTGTTTCCCTTGATTTCGTTTCGTTAGTACCTGAAACAGGGAAAAGAAAGCACACGTTTAGTTTTGCACGCGGATGTAAATATTGTTAGTGACATTGTGATGTTAATTGTGGAGCGAGTGGAACGTTTTAGGATGAAATGTCATTTGTTGGAAGTGTTAATTGTTTAACATTCGAACTTTGTCTGATTTAAAAAGGTAGGAAGGGTATGATTGATCGAAGGTTTGAAATTCGTTCGAAAGTATGTTTGTTTTTGGATTTATGCAATCATAGAGTGTTCGAAGTAAATGGAGAAAGTACAAATGAGAAAAATGAAAGAAGAAGAGAGTACATTTTTTTTGTAGATAGTTCTCGACATTTTTTAGTAAAATTGTTTAGTAAAAGTAAAAAAAGTTTGTTTGCTGTATATTAATTGCATTATCGTGGAAAGAAGATTATTAAAGATTCACCGAACATGCAAATAATTATTTCAAGCAGTTCTTCTTGAAATGAATTTTCTAGGAATCGCTTTTTCGCACAAAGTTTTGTGATTCCATTTAACATTTTTACTGTTAGACGTTAGCAAAATTAATAACAGACAGAGAATTTGGAAGAGGAAGACAGGCACAAAGAAAAAGGATATCACTTTGTTCGAACTTAATCGGTGGACATTTACAGTAAAATAGATTTGAATCCTGCGTTGTTTTCACGTTGAAAATTTTGTTACCAGAAATGCGATGGCTTCAAGGAAATTAATTAAATTCATTAATTTTATAACAGCTCCGAAAGGTACGGTGGGATTTCCTTCCAATTGAAATTAATTAAAAGCACTCGCTGTACTTATTGGCAACGATGTTTTTTCCAAGTATTATTTTATAAATTGGAATGTTGTAAATTTAGAGGGAATAACAAGAAATGCTTTATGCATAACTTTTACCTCTACTTGTGCAAAGAATGTGTAATATTGTTAAATATTCACAAGTTCACACGAACAATAGTACCTATATATGTTGAATTTTCTTAAAACGTACCATTTTCTTGAATTAAAACACTTGATTCACTTCTTAAACTTTCCCCTTCAATTTTGAAATTAATGTCACGACACTTTACTGCACCCATATTTCTTTTTTTTTGTATTAAACAACGCAACATTCAACATTCATAAATTAAAGACGCAAAATGATAAGCTAAAATGTTTGTGTTCTCTAGCTGTTCATAGATTAACTTATTTATACAGAATACCGCTTTCAAGGAGATAATCGTAAATTTACCACAATTTTGCGGACGATAAGTAGAGAGACGCAGTAACGTAGTGTCCGTTTGCGGCGTGTAAATGCATATACCCTGCTATGTGTTGGGTTTTCGAGGGCAGGAAATAGAATTTTAGGTTCATCTGATACTGACTTTACAGCAGAACCAAATTGCGCTAAGTTCCTACGGAAAGAGAGTTGAATTCATTTTACTTCTAACATTGCTTCTATCTACTGCACTTTATATTTGCCTTCATGCTTATAATTATATGTACAATATATAATAATATGCGTTATAGTTTAAATAAGAAAGAACATACGTATTACAAATATCATTCAGGTATCAATTTTTATTCGTTTAGCATACATTAACGTACGTCTGAGATGTTTAGTTTACTTAAATTCCAAGTTACAGTTGAGATATACTTTATATAATATAATAATCACAATGAGAGATATGCAAGTACAGATATACATTACAAAAAATTTTAAATCACCAAAAATCTTCATCTGAAAGATTTTAAAATCACTAAAAATTTTCATTTGAAGCATTTTTCGTTACATTCCATCATCATTACACACCGAACGAATGAAAATTGACGCCTGAGCGATGCACCGTCTCGTAAATGGTAACGTTACCGGATTGCACAATTGCTCTAGTGCTCGGTTATCTCCGTACGAATGCAACGAATTAGAGAAAACGTGTAGTAACTAACTGCTGTAAGGCAAGAACTAACAAGATTTCAACCCGTAGGACCCTGAATACGTGTTCTTTGTTCGCAGTGATGGAACACGGTTTATGTTCAAACGATAAAGTCGGGGTCAGAGCGCTCGTAAAAGTACCACTAGCACGAAGATCTTCGAGATCACTTGGAATAGAGGACCTTGTGCACTGTGCACTTTGTAGATATATCCTCTTACTCTCGATTCCGGTAGAGAAACCGGACAGTTCAAGAACAGAAAGTACAGAGCAGACGGATACCCTATCTTTTAGAGAATTCATTCAGGCAAAATGAGAATGACGCAAGTGGATCTGGACCGCACAATGGAACAGTCATCGACAGCACATAGTTAGCCAGCCAACTGTAACCCTTGTTCCAGAAATTAATTATTCTTCACTGATCGGTTGATCGTGTTCGGAGAAACGTATCGAACCTTTCGTCGAAACATTCAAACACACGAGTTTCTTTCCACGTAAGTACGGAATGTGTGCACCAAATTTGGATTTCGTACCGAAATTAATATTCTGTATAATTTTTCTAAGTCCACCTGTGAAGGTAAAGAAATATATGACTCTTTTTGTTTTATTTACGTTTGTGAATTTTTGCACAGTGTATTTATGTATGAGTACTTAATTTTATTGACTAAGTCGTGGAAACATGAATTTCACATTGAAATTCAACAATAAGAGGATTCATTCGCAAAAATAATATAACTGTATCTATTTTGTTAATTACAGGCATGAGAATTTTCTGAAATGTTACATTAATAAATTTTACTGGCTTGCACAAGTGTTAAAATCTTCTGAAACAATTTTACGTGCCCAAAAGAAATTTCAAATTCGATTATCTCGGAAACGAAACAATTTTGTTCTACCCTTTCAACTTATTTTTGCATGTAGAATAATGCAGAATAATGGTGACAAATTTTTGCTATTTCAAAATCTTTCTTATTTACGTATTCATACTGTTACATATGAATATAAGCCATTATAAATAACATATGTAGAAAAAGTAATTTCATACTACGTCACATAACAGTCAACGTGACAGATAAATTTTTTATCCTACATATATCATTCATAATGTCAACATAAATAAAAAAGAAAATAATCTCCACGTAAAGGATATTGCACAAATATCCGCAAAATATTCACAAAATTATAGTTGCCATAATTGCAACAACTTATCCCAAATTACAATTCTTCGTAAATTCTCTGGAGAAAATGGCAAAGTATCATTCGGGAGAAAATGGCAAAGTATCATTCGAGTGAAAATGTATTCCATCGAGTTTGCAAGTCTAAGTATATCCAGGAGTTTTCGAAAATTCTGCAAAAAGTAGGAACCAGAAGAATGCGTAGCCAGGGAGAGAAAAATATAAATTGTTCATGAATATTCTATCAAAGGGGATCCAGCTGCAAATACGAGAGCAACGAGTGGCTGACAGTCAGGATGCTTTTGTATCGACGTGTCCTGTCAGAGCTATTTTTTGTTTTCTTGTTATCTGCGCGCAGGTCACGTACGTTATGCAACATAAATAAACAACACGGGAATCTAATATTCCTTTTTTGTTCATAAATTGTAACAGGATTGACTTGTTAGGCGAGTAGTGATAAAATCATCGCTGTATCGACGTTCCAATTAATTCCTATACCCGATGCAATAATTAATCGTGCTGCATTTATTTACAAGTGTGTTACATTGTTTGCACAGCTTTTTATTTATATTACATCGTAAATGGATGGGAATTTATGGTGCTGAAGTTGGTGAACCATGTTTCCACGCAAACGTGTACTCGTTGCGAGCATTATTTACCGTCACTTACATTTTTTCATGAATCCAAGCATCGATCTCATCTCATCCATATTTATATTATTCGTGTATGTTTATCAAAAGGTGGACAAATGGTTTGAAATCTGTATCTAGTCAAATTGAAAGTGTATATTCTTTAAGCGAGAAATGATTTCTTATTTGAAACGGAAGAAAATCTCGAGAAAGCAGTCAAACTCATCCGTAGAATAAACTTTTATCGTGAAATGTAGAATAATAGGTAACTGTGGTCGCTAATAATCGCGTTACATTTAAAAAAAAAAAAACAGAAGAAATTATATTCATTTTTCATGAAGATCCTTCATCGTCAATTTAAAAAGAAACGAAAATACACAGCGAAAAATTTTTTACACGAGTTTCATTCTTCCCTTTGTTTTTCTGGGAAAATGGATATTGTTACAGCGTTCAACTTTCATCTGTATTATTTTTAACATCGGTAACCGTATTAGAGGTATAATTAATTTCCACCTTAATTAAATCGAATGAAAATTAAATGGAAATGATAACAGAGTTGGAATGTTACAATGTTGTTATACTATTTTATGAAATAACATGTTCGATCCACGAATTAAAAATGAATTTCATGTAATAGGTTTCTCTTTTTCAGATGAAAGAATTGATCTATCTATAAAATTCGTAACATCTTAAATCCTTTGATTTTGACGTCATTTCGTATAACGGTATAATGGCCATCTGACAGAGGTTAGTCACAAAATCAGCAACTTTTCCGTGGACTTTTGCCAGTCTACGTGACTAAATTGCATTATCCGTTCTGATTTACAGCTATCGGGGAGGTCGTTAATAATGAAGGTTCTGCACGTAATTACTGCACTCTCCTCACCAGGAAGCAGAATCCTGTATTGCTATTTCTAAAATGTGAATCGTTAACGATGATAACAGAACGGCATGATCGTCCACGATCAAATTACATTCGATTTCTTCTGACACGCGTATAGGTACCGGTAATTAAAACACTTGATTCAACAAAATTTATAATGTAACGCTGGGTAATTAGAAGTGCCAACATTGTTGAAATATTGAGAAAAGAATGTTCATAATTGCGCTCCTACACAAACGATACGATTTGTAAATATGAACTAACCGAGATAACTTCAACGAAAATACTTTATTACATTTCTAGACATAACAATTAAAATGTAACACAACAAAGTGGATATTGTAAACTTCCTTTATTAATTGATTATTTTATCAAAAGGAGAGTCATTAAAAACATACAAAATAGATTAGTATAACTCGTAAAGTTAATTTTCTACGTCGCTCTTCTTTTCCAATTTTCAGTATGTGAAAAGTAATACTGAAAAAAAATTGACGAATTCGAAACGACCTTAAATCGTGAAAAGACAGGTGATCACCTAAATATATCTAACCACACTAATACTAATTAAATTACCAACACTCGGTAATTTATATTAATTACCGCTTCAACGTGAACACTGATTTTCGCAGTTGCAGACAATCTGACATTCCACGTTTGCAAAGTGTTCCCATTCTGACAATACGAGGTAAGAAAGACGTTCATACCGTGGAAACGAAATATGTGATCGGTCATGACAGCCGTGCAAGGTTTATTCCATTCTCCAAAAACCTATTCCCATCCTTTCCAACGACTACCTCTTTATATTACCTCTTTATATTACCAGCTTCCACTCTGAATTTCACCCAACGACCATCACGATGGGCCACTTTTCCTTTCTTGCAATCTTCTTCCTGGATTCTCCGATGGTTTCCAATGTAGGTCTTCTGATGGTGTTGGCGATAGAGAAAACGATCAAAGAAGGTAAGAGTAGGGGAGGGCGCAAAAAGACGAGAAACGATCAAGAAAATGGCGGACAATGAATTAGGGAAGGTTGAAGAAGGGGGAAGAAGTTGTATTACGATCAAATCGTGCTACTGTCAAGCTAGCCAGACGTGAGATAAGTGAGAAACGATAAATAGAGTGTGGTAGCTGGAAAGTAATAGAAGTAGTAAATAGTAAATAAACTGTTAGGCTGTTTTCTTGTAGTTGAAATCGTTTGAAAAGGTTTCGGATAAAACGTGTAGTTAATTGACACTATTATTCAAGGTTTTTTTTCTTCATAACGATCTATTAATTAAATGCTTATTAACTGAAGCGTGCGTGTAAATTAACCGTAGTCGTTGATAAATACAGTAAGTTGTTAAATTTTATTTATGCAACACACTCATAATTTAATGCTCCGTGATTAATAATTTGCCGATAATTTGAACGCGAATTAAACTACAAAAATTTTCCTCCACATTTTTAATATTTAATAAATGCGGTTTCGAATATTATTTTACATATTAAAAATCCTATACTCTTATACGATCCAGAAAATAAAATAAAAACCAGAGCGAGCATACGCAATCCTATTATAGGTCAATTAATATAGTTTCCTAAATGTTGATTTTAATGTAAATGAATTTAAACGATAATTGGATTTCCTTTTTCTACCGTTTAAACTCAGAGATCAATTCTTTTACGATACAAGTTAAACAGTGCACTTAGGCAAATTCAACTTGCATTCAATGATACAACCTTCTGTATTCGATACTTTTACAGCGATATTGGACGTGAAAAGGAGAAAAATCGTTTTAGGCTTCTCAAAGGACTCGTTAGTAAGGCAATCTAAGAAACTTCGTGTCTTAGATGTGAAGGGCAGTTAGGCTCAAGTTAGAAGCTATATTTATATGAATAGGAGAGCCTTGACGAGGACTTGTGATAAAGGTTGTTGTTTCGCCAATTAGTCCCTCTGATGGTAGATTGTGGGAGGCACTGTCTATACCTTGTCTAAACTACTTTTCAATATAAAGAGAAACTGCACTTAACCCTTTCGCTGTTGAGAAAAGTTACCGTTCAGACAAGCATTATATCCTGTGAAATTGCACAAATATCGCACAATATAAATATGTACGCACAAAATAATTGCACAAAAAGACGTCCAGGAAATGGATCAGCGATGACCCAGCATTCGCCATCCGAAGGTTAACGTTACATTCAAAAATACGTATTTAGAAAAATGTTCCGCGTTAAAATCTCACGTCTCCACGGCGTATTTAGCCGACAAAGTCGCAAATTACCATGATCTTCCTAACACTGCCGCCGGTTGGCACATCAAAGGTGTGCCGCGACCCTCGCTACACATCCCTAGAACAACACCTTATTCATTTCTGGTATAAACATAACGAAATACCATCGATCAAACAGAACGTCCACGTTCTTCTCATCAGAATCCCCGAATAAACACACACGAACCCGGAACGACGCTGATTTCTCAGATCGCGAGAATACGTTATCACGGAAATTGGAAGGGAAACGCCGGCCGGTAGCATTACTTATTCACCTGGCAATCGTATCGCGGTATCGCTTCCCGTCTCGTTATGACTCGTATTTTCTCTATAAATCTGGGTTTAAAGTCGCAAGATTTATGAACGT